GAGATAAAAATGGAAGAAAGACCGTTCAAGCTTTGGTCATTTTCGCATTTTCGCAGAAAAATCCGATAGTGTCGGTACACGTGTTAATGAGCTATTCTTTGCATTCAAAATAGTTTGTGCTGTTTGGACATTCGTGCGAGAATTGAGATTCTCAAGTTTACAACAATTCTAGCATATCCCAGCTACACATTGCAGAATTTGCTTCATGAGATGCGTGCTGTACCGGGAGGTTTCATCTCGCATGCGGCTTACAATGATGAAGATTGCGGCGCTCGTCATGACTGTACCAGTCTTGCTACTTCTCAACGTAAACTTCAATATATGTGTTCAAAAGAAGTGGCATAATCGGTGCTCACAATGTCTAGTATAGTCGTACTTCAGAACTCCTCCGATCTTGGAAGCACATCGGTGAGCCAGTTAGAGCCAGCCGACGTGAGCTCCTGGCGACAGGCGGGTTAGTCGCAATGAAGGTTGTGAAAGTTAGCGCATATACTAAGAATTTACAGACAGCAAAAGAGCATGCACTACTATCAGCACTAACAATACTTCTGTCAATCTGTCTATGGAGCAACTGTCGATGCAAGAGCTTGAGAGTAAATTCAAGTACTTAGAGCTTGGTGGTCATTACATTCCCAAACATTGTACTGAAGCACACAGGGTATCCTTTCTTGACTTGTCACTTTTTTAGAAAATTTAGAGTTTTAGGAACTATTTTCATAGAGCTTTTCATATACTAACCTATTAGGTTGTGCAATAAGTTTGATCGCTCTTTTACTGAGGTTTTTTTGCAATATTATGAAATGATCAATTTGTCGTTTGGAACAATTAGAAGAACACATTGAGTTTTCGTGCCAGATGTGCTTCCCTTTGATACTTGACATTCAAGAATTTGAAGGCACCGTTCACCATAAGTTGAGGCTCTTAATGGCAGCATATGATAGTAGGGCTCCCTATAGAGTCAATGCTCAACTCGCGGCGCAAAACGTGGTTTTGAAAGCGAGAAAGTTGCTCCGGAATAACGAAGATGCACGTGGAACCTTAGACGGCACCGCTTTCCTCAGCAATGCCCGCCCCTCCGTTCGCGCCCATCCAATCACCGCTCCGTATAACCGGCCTAGGGGTTCGTTGCAACGGAATTTATCGGGGTTTTCGCAGATTCTCAACCATATCCGGAATCAGGGACATGAAAAGGCCCCGAAAGGACAAAAACATAGAAGTCGAGAATGTGGGTGGACGGTGCCTTTGATTTGATACTGCTCAAATACGTCATGTTTGCTCAGAAGGACGGCTTAAGTATAATAAAAAACGTAGCCACGCGTAGAGATTTGATTTATATTTATAGAAGGCAATGCACGAGTGAAAATTAGAATATTCATAGAGGTCAACGCTCGAGTGAAACTTAGATTATGTGTGAAGTATGTGCAAGTTGTCTTCCTCCTATTATTTTGCATGGATTATATTTAGATGGCTGTAATAATTCCATATCGAAACCGACCCATGCACCTTCCCATTCTTCTCAACAATTTTCATCCTTTTCTTACTGATCAAGAGCTAGATTACTCTATCTTTGTGGTAGAACAAGTCTCCAATCAGACCTTCAATCGTGGAAAAGTAAGTGTGCAATGAATGCTACACAAATAATTAAAAAGCTTTTTCAAATTCTAGTTGTTGAATATTGGTTTTGTCGAGGCTTTGAAGATCTATGACTGGCAATGCTTTCTACTTCATGACGTGGATTTGCTACCGGAAGACAAAAGAAATTTGCATGTTTGTCCTCAAAGCAATCCCCGACACATGGCTGTCGCTATGGACAAATACAATTATTCGTAAGAGGATTGCAAATTTTGAAGTTGCAAATGAGGGTGATTGTTATAGACTCCATTATGACAGCATGTTTGGCACAAGCTCTCTGCTAAACGTGAAGCAATTTCGTGACGTTAACGGACTATCTAATCAGTACTGGGGATGGGGAAAAGAAGACGACGATCTCTTCAGAAGGTGAGTATATCTTCCAAGTTTTTTGTAGGATGCGTCGACGCGAGAACTCAGAGAATCGCCGGGGGTAGGCGGTCATACGACTTATGGACAAGCGGGCACCGGGAGAATAGTCCGCTGATTTTTTGAGGTCGGCTTGCAGGTATTTGGGAGAATTTGCGAGAAAGTTGGAAATTTTTTGGAACGCGAACGCGTAGGAGTTATTCGCAGATTAGTTGTGGCGCAGTGGCCGCATTCCCGCGGACTT